CCACATATGGAGTATTGTGCCCAGTTCTGGTCGCCTCATTACAGGAAAGATGTGGAAGCGTTGGAAAAGGTACAGAGTAGATTTACCATGATGTTGCCTGGAATGGAGGGAAGGTCTTATGAGGAAAGGTTGAGAGAGCTAGGGTTTTTCTCTATTGAACAATGAAGGATGAGAGGTGACTTGATAGAGGTGTACAAGATGATCAGAAGTATAGATAGAGTGGATAGCCAGAGACTTTTTTCCTAGGGTGGAGATAGCTATTACAAGAGGGCATAGTTTTAAAGTGAGTGGAGGTAGATAAGGGGAGACGTCAGAGATAGGTTCTTTACTCAGAGAGCGGTGGAGGTGTGATATGCATTGCCAGAGAGGGTAGTGGAGTTGGCCTCATTAGGGGCATTTAAGCTGCTATTAGATAGGCATATGGATGATAATATAAGGTGGGGGTGGAGGTTAGATAGACCTTAGGTTTAGGGTAAAAGTTCGGCACAACATCGTGGACTGAAGGGACTATACTGTTCTATGTTCTATGTTCTATTCGAGAGAATGAAAGTATTCGAAACGATGAAAGAAAAAAGGGAGATAAATAGAGAGCCACAGAGAGAGGAAGAGATTGACAGATCAAACAGGGCAATTGAAGACAATGAAAAGTCATGGAACATAAGAAAGTGAATGGGAAAGGGAGGACGTTAGAACTGCTGGGTTGAAATGACAAACAGTTCTGGTTCCCTAATGACCTTCGAGGTGGGATATCGGATCCCCTTTCCCAGTTAGGACACCAACCACAATGATGAAAACACAAAAAACATTTACTACAAAGCCAGGCTCCGAATCGGAATTTAACGTTCACCAAATCCCACAGTGGGATCTAAACCCTTGACCTCAAGCTGAACTGCGTCCTTCTGGTCAACTAATATTGATAATGGGCCAGAGAACCTAACATAACAGCTAATGTTTTGGAAGTTTATTTTCTTGTCTTCTATTTTGAAAGAAACAAACACAGTAATATTCAATTTTTAACAGACCGCTGGCAAGTTCTGTCTGATGGCACAGTGATGATGTCACTGGGCCAGGAATGCAGAACAGATTAATATTTTACAGAGACAGGTTCAATTCCTATCCAATGCAGATGCCAAAATTTAAATGAGCAAAAGCTGGAGTCATAATGCTAACTGCATGGAGCCCATGTCACCATTGACATAAAATACCATCTGGTTCACAAATGCCCTTTAGGAAAAGAAATACACCGTCTTTACCCAGCCTGGCCTCAACGTGACTTCAGAACAACAGTAATGTGTTGAATCTTATCTTCCCTCTGAAATGACCCAAACGAGTCGATCAGTTGTCTCATTCCCAGTGCAAATATGGTACGGCCAAAACCTCATCCCTGACAGTGACTCTTACATCTCACAACTAAAATAAGCCATTGTTCAATTGCAGCCTTGCCATTGACTGAATTTCAAGTCACTTTTTTCTGGATTTTTTGACACAGAGGTGTTGGGATTATTGGCCACCCTGTGCAAATGAGAGCAAATTTTAATAAAAGTTGTTTGAATAAGTTCACAGAATCATACAATATAAAGGGAAGCTATTCAACATACTGAGTCCGTACTGGCTCTCTGGTAAGTAATCCAGTCAGCCTTAATGACCCACTCGATACCTATAGCCTGTCCAGATTAATTCCTTCAAGTCTCTGTGCAAGATCTTTAAAATCGTTTCGATACTGCTGCTTCATTTAACTATGGAGCCAACAAGCTCGATTTATTACCATTTATCACCCTACACTCTCAAAACTTCTACAGAACCTTAAATCAGTGTTCACTTGTTCCTTATACAATTTGCCAGTGAGAATGGATATTGTTTATCTACTCTCATAATATTGCACAGCGAGTTCCAGTCTCTGCTCGAGGTACTTCGTTTGAAGATAGACAATTGCAACCACGTCAAACGAACTTTGCAGTTAAAATTTCTCACTGCTGGAACGAAGCCAGTCAACAAAATTAAGCATGCAGGTGCAGCCAGCGGTGAAGATGACAAATGGGATGTTGGCCTTCAGAGCAAAAAGATTGGAGTACAGGATTAGGGATGTCTTGCTGGAACTGTACAGGGCCTTGATGAGACAACTCTTTGAGTATCTTGTGCCGTTTTAGTCTCCCTGTCTGAGAAATGATATTCTGGCTATGGAGACTGTGCGATGATAGGTTACCAGACTTATTCCTGGTGTGAAAGGACTGATACATGAAAAGAGAATGGATCCGTTAGTGTTACATTCAGCACAGCTGTTTTGATGCGTATTTCATTGAAATTGAAGAAACTCAAACAGGACTAGACAGGGAAAACACAGGGAGGATGTTCTCATGGCCCCCAGAACAAGTGGGTCATATTTCAATGATACAGGCTAGGGAACTTAGGGCTGACACAAGGAAAAGTGTCTTCACACAGAGAGTGGTGACTCTGTGGAATTCTGTGCCACACAAAGCAGTTAAGGTCTCAAAATTGAATATCTCCAAGAAAGAGTTAGAGAAAGATCTTTGGGCCAAAGGGAACCAAGTGCATGGGGGAGAAAGTATGAACAGGGGACTAAGTTCAATGATCAGCCATGATCATTTTGTTTGGTGGAGCAGGCTTGAAGGGCTGAAAAGCCTAATCCTGATTCTGCTTTCTGTTATTTAAGGACTATTAGCATGCAGAACAAGAATGCAGAAAAGCCCAAACCACAGATTCCAGCAACTGTTTCCTCCTTCTCAATGGTGTGAGGGTAGGGGAGAGGGAACACATGACTAAGTTGCAATTAACATTGTTTGTCCCCCTTCAGAATGCTGCAAATGTGGTGTCGATAAAAAATGGAATGTAGCCATTCATGAAGATGTCTCATTTCCCTCAAGCACAATTCGGGATGGAAATTAAATGATCTCCTTGCTCACGTGAATTCATTTTTATGTTGGTAGGCACAATAGATTGGAGTTGAGCTTACAACGCTCATGAACGTACAAACATCCGAATTCAATACAGGAGAATACCATTATCCCCAAGCCTGCTCCACCATTTGTTCAGGTCATGGCTTATTTGTTTGTGATTCAAATTCTGCATTCCCAATTTTCGTTTCATTTCCTTTACTATCAAGAATCTACCTACCTTCACTCTAAAAATATTGAACAACAGACACCCTACCCACAACTAATTTCTGCTGTGAGGTACAATCTTTTGGGAACTCTGCTGTTTGTGATCTTTATAAATGACTTGAATGAGAAAGTGGAAGGGTGGATTAGTAAGTTTGCCGATGACACAAAGGTTGGTGGAGTTGTGGACAGCGTGGAGGGATGTTTTAGGTTGCAACAGGACATGGACAGAATGCAGAGCTGGGCAAAGAAGTGGCAGATGGAATTCAACCCAGATAAGTGTGAGGTCATTTTGAAAGGTTGAATTTGAGTGCAGAATACAGGGTTAATGGCAGGATTCTCGGCAGTGTGGATGAACAGATGGATCTTGGGGTCTACGTCCATAGATCCCTCAAAGTTGCTACCCAAGTTGACAGGGTATTAAAGAAGGCGTATGACGTGTTGGTTTTCATTGGCAGGGGAACTGAGTGTAAGAGCCGTGAGGTTATGCTGCAGCTCTATAAAAATCTGGTTAGACCACACTTCGAATATTGTGTTCAGTTCTGGTCACCTCATTATAGGACAGATGTGGAAGCTTTAGAGAGGGTGCAGAGGAGATTTACCAGAAAGTTGCCTGGACTGGAGGGCAGGTTTTATGAGGAAAGGTTGAGGGAGCTAGGGCTGTTTTTTCATTGGAGCAAAGAAGGATGAGAGGTGACTTGATAGAGGTTTACAAGATGATGAGAGTCATAGATAGAGTGGATAGTCAGAGACTTTTTCCAGGGTGGAAATGACTATTACGAGGAAGCATAATTTTTAAGTGATTGAACAAAGGTATCGGGGAGATGTCAGAGGTAGGTTTTTCACACAGAGAGTGGTGGGTGTGTGGAATGCGCTGCCGGCAGTGATAGTGGAGTCAGATACTTTACAGACTTTTAAGCGACTCTTGGATAGGCACATGGAGGACAGTAAAATGTAGGGTATGCAGAGTAGATTGATCTTAGTAGAATAATGTCAGCACAACATGGTGGGCCGAAGGCCCTGTACTCTGCTGTACTGTTCTATGCTCGATGTTCTTGCACCACCCTCAGCGAAAACTAAAAGTCTCCTCATCTCAGATAATCACAAGTGCTAATTCGAAAACAGCGACACCCCTCGTGACTCCTCAGTCTCCACAGACCCAAAAGAAGAAACATTCGTTCCACAGAAGAAACATTTCGGATCTTACACGATGCGACGCATTCGATCACTGCTCAAAGCCACATCAGAAAACAATATTAGCTCTCATTGATTTCCTGTTGTATTCTGGAGAGAGGGATAGTTCATTTTGGATTTCACATCTTAAGAAAAAGGACTATAGCTAACCACGTGTTGTCTCTGATCGGCGGAGATTTTGATCAGGATCACAGCTGATATTCTGCCTCTTTGGCATTTGCCTGACAATTTCTGAAAGAGCACTGCTCTGAAGAAATTCAGATCTCACAGTAATCCAGTTCAGCTCTAAAGTTGGCTGATAAAGGTAGAAAATGGGGGATATCATTCCAACTTTGGGCAGCCATGTTCGGGAAACAGTCAACTTTTCAGACTAATGATCAATTGTCAGCATTGTATTGGATGTATTCAGACAATTGTCATATCTCTGGTGAAATTCTGAGACCCTTTTCTATTATTACCAAAGCAGAGATGGGCAGCTTTCTCCACGTTTTCCCGGCCTTAGTTGGTATCAGGTCTGAACTCCCATTCGCCCAACTTTGTGTTGGGAGATCCATTCATGAACCGTCCACACAGCAAGACATGCAATGAATAATTTTTTTGGACAAACATGATCAGACTGAAGACTGTGATGCTGATAACTTACTTGTTTCCCCCTGGGCGATTGGCGAAGTTGGAATAAGAAGTGAAAATTTAATTCTCTAGTTTCAAGCTCTTCAAAATGTTACATGATTTAATGATTCTCTTGAAGGGGTATATCATTACATTTTTCAACTCTTTCCCGAATTTATCCTGGATCACAGCATAAATACAAGTGTTGGTGCAGGAGCTGAGAACTTGCAGCATCTTCGCTGTGCGATCTGTGATAAAGTGAGAGTCTGCGTCGGAGTCGTAGTAAAATCGGACATCTGTAATTCGCGCATGAATATTATAGAAAAGCTGGGTTGCCCACAAGAGCACAAAACTGCTCGATATACTGAAGAGCAATGCGATGGACTTCCACCAGTTTTGCATCTCCACATCCTCGTTTTTCTCTCGAATTCTTTGTCCACGGAGACCCCTACAGATTTGACTGCTCACTAAAATACGCCTGACAGTCAGCACATTGAACAGCAAGATCAGAAAGAATGGCACACAAGGGGTTAAAATGTAGCTGGTCATTTCAAGTGCACCCCATGCAGGGGAACTGAAATAACTCAGTTTATGGGTGCAGCCCCATGGAATATTATCAATGAAATATCGTGGCTCAAATGTGAAATACCAGGGTAGAGACTCCAGGCAGCCCAGCACGATCACGGTCCCTAGAAATGCCGCTGCAGTTCTCTGAGTGCAAAATTTTGTTTTCAATCTCTCATTGCAAATGGGCACGAATCGGTCAAAAGTGAATATGACTGTGAGCCAGACAGAAATCACTGTGACTGCTGACCCCAAGGCAGAAAAAGTACTGCACACGGGAGTAATTTTCACGAATGAATGTGGAAAATGAATTGGAACAGTGATCGAAAATATCGCATCAAAGACAACGACAAGGAAATCAGCCACTGCCATTCCAATCAAGTACTGAGTTACGCACTTGGAGAGACCACACTTTCCTCGGGACAGGATCACTAGGGCCAGCAAGTTAACTATGAGGGAAGACATTGAAATAGAAGTAAATATTTTCAGATCTTATCCTGAATCAAAGAACAATGTAACACAAAGTCGGGCAAAAGGTCCAGAATTTATATGCAAGACTGACGTAAAACATGCTTTCCAATAATAACACACTTGAAACACAATTACCAACATAACATTTTGGAATCCATAGCAGAAGCAAATAAAATAAGCAGAGGAGTTTAATACTCCATCATTAAGAATAAATTGAATTTCCTTGAAGGGTGAAGGAGCAGATATAATGGCAGCATTTAATGATTCGAAAAGTTGTTTGTGCAAAATACACTCTGATAAGTATTGACAATTTGATAGCAAAATTATCACCAATTTTCATCAGGAACACTTGCGATAACAGCTTACCAGGAACACCAATGGCTGAAATAAGAGGAAAGAAAACATCTTCTATTTGCCATACAATTAGATATGCCATTTCTGAGATTAGCAATAACTTCAGTTGTTCTGGGTCTCACACTTCTGGTAGGAACTGTGAACTGATCTATTCAAATCGATCCAAAATATATAGAGTGTAAGCTTCCAGTGACGTAGTTACACCTGACATCGCCATTAGTAACACCAACTTGAACAAACACATTATGTCAACAGCTCTGACGTGATTATTATGGTGGGCAAGACACAACCATGCGAAACTTCAGGAGTCAACATTAGTTCCACCATTATGCAATGAAGCTAAAAGTGCATGCTGCAAAGGACTTATCCCATAAATATTGAATGCATTCATTTCGATTTTTTTTCTTCTGTAAACCATGGTCCTTTTTATTTCAGTTAACTTAATTGTTACTGCTCTGGAAGTCATTCAGAATCCAGAAACACAAATTCATTCTGGTTCTGCAGATTCCCAGATAAAGATATAAACTTCATTCTTCTAAGGCATTGGCGTCTGTCTCTCCATTTGAGGTAGTGGGATCCCGTAAGGTAAGTGTTTGACAGCCAGTTGGTGAAGGCAAAGTTTTGAAGTTAATGCTTACGCAGTTTATGATTTACTTGTAAGGTGGAGAATTGCATATGCACATATACCAACCCTGAAACCCAACTCCAATGACAGCACTTGGTGCATTTTGCAATGAGGCAATTAAAACCTTCTTCTCTAACCCCAACCCTAAGGCTAACCATAATCGAAACCACAACCCAACTCTGCACTGAAGCCTATGTTATACAATTAACTTAGAAATGGAGTAGGCTCTTTCTTTCTCTGCCTCTTCATTTTAATATTGGGACTTAATGTTGTCTGACAGGCAAGTTTTTGCCATTTTTTAAAAATTCACTCGTGGGACTTGGGCACCACTAATTGGTTCAAACTTTATCGTCATCCCAAAATGCCAGTTGAGGAGCAGCTGGTGAACTGCTTACATGCACTGCTGCAGACGATGTGCTGTAGATAGACCCACAATATCATAATGAAGGGTAACATGCGATTTAGACCCAGGTACTCTTAAGGGATGATACTCAGTATGGTAACTCAGTTGAATGGTAACACATCAAGGGGCAGTGGATAGTTGTTCTACTATTGGAGGTGGTTGTCCCTTGTCATGTGGTGGAAATATCACTTTCCACCCCTTAGCCTAAGTCTCAATATTGTCAGAATATGTTGCATTTGATGAAGGACTGCTTTGTTTTCTGAGGAGTCGTGATGATGCTGAACATTGTGCAATCATCATCAAGCATCCCAATTCTGACATTATGATCGAGGGAAGGTCATTGATGAAGCAGTTGGAGATGTTTGGGTTTAGAACATTCCCCTGCAGAACTCCTGTGGAGTTGACACTCATTATAAAATCATCAAGTTACAATTTATTTATCTAACTCTAATAGTCAACAAATTATCTATGTAATTAGCAAACCGAATAAACGCCTGCTAACTACTAACAATTCCTGAATAAAGCAAGATTCCAAAGATATGCTGTTTCAATAAACACGAGACCCGCTTATATAGAAAAATGAATTTAGCCTCTCGAAATTAATGCCAGGTTATACGTCTTCTGGAATTTTCTATGATTTCTCTGTCAAGTCTTCTGCCAGGAATGCCTTCTCAGTCAATTCTTCTGTCAGGAATATTAAATAGTTGTGCCATGGGTTCCTTTGTTATTTAGAAGTTGCTTTCTATAAGACAGAGATGAGTCTCTGAGAACCAGCGATTCTCTCTTGAGACCTGGTGGCTGTTAGATCAAGCAGATGGGAATTAGCTCTGTGCTTTGTCCAATTGCCCCCTTCTTTTACAGCTTTGATGACATGTCAAAATTACTTGCAATATGATTGGCCATAAGTTGTCACAACCATCAGATTTAAATTTAATAGGTTTTTGATATCGAAGTGCCTGGTTCAAATTAATTGGCTAAATGCAAAAGCTTGAACAAAAACAAAGTTTCTGGAAAAGCTCAGCAAGTCTGGCAGCATCTGTGAAGGAGAAAACAGAATTAACGTTGACCCTTCCTCAGAAATGCAAAAGCTTGTTGTCTCAGTAAAAAATAACAACCTGCTGCTTGGCCTGCAAACTGTATGGCCTTCTGGTACAAATGTTTCAATTCAGATGCTTTCTGTGTACCTGCAATCTTTCAATCTGCTGCTCACAGATATCCACTTCAAATCTCTCAGCAAAGAAAAAGCAAATGGCCTCTAAAGGGACCATGCAATGCTTCCCCCCGCAACATTTTACAAACACCAAATTGTAACTTCCCGCCTCCCAATTCACAAGTTGTGTTTTTGTCTTGCCCTGTCTGCCTAACTTCGCAACAATATCATTGGAGACATCAATCTCGTCATCAGGCCCAACATGAACTTTCAGTCTATATAGCTGCAACGCCAGAAGTGCACAGACATATTCAGAAATTTGAATACATTGGTAAATAAAGAAATCAATAAGGAAAATATATCCATCCATCCCTCTTCAAGCAGAATGGGATAATTAGTCCATGTATCAATGAAAATTATATATATTGAATACCAATATTCTCTGAGCTGATGCAATAGTTTGTACATGTCTCTTGGAAATAATCGTTTCAAAACCTCCCTCTTCCTCTTAGGCAGGAGATGAGGGCCATGTGTTATATTTCCTTTGTGAGAAAAGGAAAAGTCTATTTCCTTTTTAGATTTTACCTTTTCCAAACCCTTTGACATCGGTTTTCACAGATTTAAGCAGAATAAATTACCATCCAAAATTCCAATTTTACTTATCTTTCCAGAGATCTAATTCAAACGAACAAACATTCATTGAAAATACAAAATAGAACAATTCATTCAAGACAAGCAAATTGTATTATCTGGAATTAAAGATTCACTCACACTTTCCAATAATATTTAGACGGTTGCTCTGGCCAGAAAATGAAATTCCAAAGACAATGATTCAAAAATTGTGAAATTTATCTATTACCCAGGACTCTTGCCTAAAACTAAATACAATACACATTGTTCGGCTTTTCTTGGTAAGAGGAAATAATACCTGGCATTTAACTTAATTTCCATACTTCAATTGGTTTCACACATCTGCAATCAATTCAAGGAGGAATATTTTACCAAGTCTTGAACAAACTAATTTCAAATAAATATTCTGTCGTGGGTTTTCAAAAAAATCTTCATTCATGGGATGTGCATGTCAATAGCTTGAGCAGCATTTATTGTCCTTCTTGTAGTTGCGCTTGCGAAGGGGGTTGACTCACTCCCTACGTGAAGACATTTTTTTTCTTCCATCAATGAGGATTGGGACATTTGTGGAGACTCCTCCTCCAGTGAGTTGTTGAATTGCCCACAACCATTCAGGCTTGGACATGGCAGGAGTTAGATTTGTTCCGTTAGTTGTGGCGTTGTCTAGTCCTATCCATCACTACTGTGTATGTGGTTTTTCAACTAGTCTTGTTTGGTAGCTTCACCAGGTTGACACCCGAATTCCAGATATTCTCCTGGCATGCCGTCCTGTGCTCTCTATTGAACCAGGGGTGATCCCCTTGTTTGATGGGAATGGCTGAGTGGGAGATATGTCAGGCCATGAGTTTGCGGATTGAACTGGTTACAGATAGGCACTAATAGTTCCTTAAGGATTGAATTCAAATTACCTCCTTGCCATGGTAAGATTGAGGGCCCGAGTCTCTGGAACGAATGTCCATTCACAGTGCCACAAAAGCGCTACATCTCCTTCAGTATGGATTGGTCATCAAACATGTATTCTAATCTCATTTAGCAGCACTTGGTCTGAAACTGTGGATGTTATTTCATTTCCAATTCTCTTTGAAGTCCTTTTTAGATGACTTAAGGCGTTACTCTGCTACCAGCTGTTTAGACAATGAGTTGCACATACCCACAACCTCTCAGTGAAAACAGTTTTATGCAAATTTTCTAAATTTTCTGCTCGTTATTTTAAATTTATTCCTCCAGGTTACTGAACCCTATACTAAAGGGAAATCTCCATGTCAAACTCATAGACTCCTTTGTTATTTTGTACACCCAAATTAGAACCCGTCAGCCTTCTCTGCTCGAAGGAAAACTGTGGACTGACACAGTTAATGAAAAGGCCCTGAAGAATGTTGTCGAATAGCGAGACCGAAGATTGCAGGTACGTTGCTTTTTAAAAGTTGCAACAAAGTTGACAGAGTGGTAAAGAAGACATTTGGCACACTTGCCTTCATTGCTCAGACCATTGCATATAGGAATTGGGATGTCATGTTGCGATTGTACAGGACATTAGTGATGCCGCTTTTAGAGCACTGTGTACAGTTCTGGTCACCCTAGTATGGGAAGGATAGGCTTAAAATTGGAGAGCTTGTAAAAAAGTTTCACAGGGATGTCGCAAGGACTAGATGGTTTGAGTTATAAGGAGAGGCTGGCGAGTCTTGGAACTTTTTTTCCTGGAAATAAAAAGGTTGAGGGGTGACGTCATATAGGGTTATAAAATCATGAGGAACGTAGGTAAGGTGAACGGCAATGGTCTTTTCCATGGAGTAGTATAGTTCAAAACTATAAGCTATTTGTTTAAAGAAAGAGAGTGGATTATTTTCAAAGAGACCTGAGGGACATCTGTTTCACACAGAGGGTGGTGGGTATTTGGAATAATCTGCCAGAGGATGTGGTAGAGGCAGGTATAGTTACAACATTGAAAAGACATTTGTACAGATACATGAACAGGAAAGATTCAGAGGGCTATTGGCCAAGTGCAGACAAATAGGACTCGTTTATCTTGGGAAATGTGGTTGGTATGTATGCTTGGAGTGAATAGTCTATTTCTGTGCCGTATGACTTGACGACTGCATGAGCTAGCAACTCTGGAATGGCCCATCATATCATGTCATCCATCATTATTGCTTACCGAGGAGATACTGAGTACAATTCCTGACACTTTCCTTTCACATACGTGCTGGCAGTTGTAGCTTGGGTTGTACTCAATGTAAATTCTCCACGACATTTACCTGGAAAATGTGCCAATTG